TGAGACCTCTAGCAGCAGGACGCCGGAGCTTAGTTGATTGTTATGCTTGCTGATTATGTTGATGTCTCTGTTTAGTGATTATGCCTTATCCTTTACCTTGCTGTTTGTATTGAGACTTGATGAGTATGATGTTTATTTGGTGAGCATGGGGATTGTCAATGCCACATTGATTGACTATGTCTTATTTTAGATTCGAGTTGTATTAATGTATCAGGATTATGTCTGGACTATGTGTTGTAGATCCGTGACTTAGATACTCACATATTTATATTATGAGGTTATTCAGTGTAGATAGCTGTTTATTTGCAATTACATACAGGCAATGTTTTGAAAAAGAATTGAGTAATCAACTTGGTAATTGATAATGACGTCATTATCGAAAAGAAAAAGATATTCTGCATATTTAATTAAGCGTGGCTTAATACGATGACATGATAACAAATTGGGTATACACTGGGCGTTACAATTTTGGTCCAGACTACGTGTTGTAGTTCCATGACTTAGATACTCACTTATTTATATATGAGGTTATTCAGTGTAGATAGCTGTTTATTTGCAATTACATACAGGCAATGTTTTGAAAAAGAATTGAGTAATCAACTTGGTAATTGATAATGACGTCATTATCGAAAAGAAAAAGATATTCCGCATATTTAATTAAGCATGGCTTAATACGATAACATGATAACAAATCGGGTATACACTGGGCGTTACAATTTTGGTCCGGACTACGTGTTGTAGTTCCGTGACTTAGATACTCACTTATTTATATATGAGGTTATTTAGTGTATTTAGTTTTATTGCAATTTACATACAGGAAATGTTTTATGAAAAAGGATTAAGTAATCAACTTGGTTAATATAATGACGTTGTAATTGAAAAGAAAAAGTTATTCCACATTTTTAATTAAGCGTAGCTTAATACGATGACATGATAATAAATCAGGTATACACGGGGTGTTACATATTGCATCAAATACAAATCAACTGGCGAGATTGAGTGCTATAAAGCCAGACTTGTGGCAAAGGGCTTAACACAACTTGAAAGGGTAGATTTCTTTGATACATTCTCCGGAGTGGCCAAGTTGACCTCCATTAGAGCTTTACTTGCCATAATAGCAGCCAAGGGGTGGCTTCTTGATGAACTCGATGTTGATAATGCCTTTCTTCATGGTGATTTGATTGAAGAATTTTATATGGAACCTCTTCAAAGTGTCACTAGTCTTCAGTCGAACCAAGTATGTCGCTTAAACAAGTCTCTCTAGGGACTTCGCCAAGCTAGCCGACAATGGTATAGCAAGCTTTCTTCGACTCTTTTATCTCTTGGCTACTCACAAACTCAGGGTGATCACTCTATGTTCACGCTCAAACAAGGATATTTCTTCATCGTGTTACTTGTGTACATTGATGACATCGTTCTTGCTAGGAATTCCTCTTATGAGATATAGTGTGTGAAGTCTTACCTCCATGACCGGTTCCGAATCAAGGATCTGGGACCCTTACGTCACTTCTTAGGCCTTGAAGTTTCTTGTTCACAAAAAGGAATACACCTCAACCAACGCAAATACACACTTGAAATCCTTTATGATACTGGTTTTCTCGTTGCTAAACCAAGTGTCTCACCAATAGATTCCAATGTTCATCTCAGTCGTTGCGTTGGTAACCCAACTGAGGATCCCATAACTTATCGTCGTTTAGTTGGGAGACTCTTATATCTCACTACTACTCGCCCAGACATTTCTTTCGCAATGGAGCAACTCAACCAGTTTATTTCAGCTCCCTTAGACACTCAGGTTGCAGCAGCCAACCGTATTCTTTAATATCTAAAAGGAGCTCCTTCTACTGGGTTGTTTTTCCCCACTCAATTTGATCTCTGTGTTCGGGCTTTCAGTGACTTTGACTGGGCATCTTGTCTAGACACTCGTCGTTCCATCACTGGGATATGTGTTTTTGTTGGACCTTCTCTCATTGCTTGGCATTCTAAAAAGCAGACCACCATATCTCGATCTTCCTTTGAGGCAAAGTACAGAGCTTTGGCGAGTCTTTCATTCAAGCTTTAGTGGCTCCAACATTTGTTCACTGATCCGCGTATCCCTTGGAGCAAGCCAGCTTTAGTCTATTGTGCACTAAATTTGCCATGTATCTCGCGCATAATCCAGCTTTTCACAAACGTTACAATCATATAGAGATTGATTGTCATGTTACTAGGGACAAAATACATTCTGGGTTAATTCACCTCCTATCAGTTTCTTCTGTTGATCATTTGGCAGATGAGTTTACCAAGCCTCTTCAATTCTGCCATCTCTAAGTTGGGACTCTTTAATCTTCACAGTCGGCCGAAGGGGGGGGGGATACACAAGGTTAAGCCCAAGACAAAAGTGAAGATGCCCAAGATAATAAGAGTGCAGCCCAAGTAAAATGTGCTTCGGCGTCTTTAGTCAATCGTTGCAACTTTCTGATACGAGCAACCAATCACGATAGATCGCTTGCCATATCAACAGCGTAACTTATTCAGTTGGGGAAATTTGTTAGTAAGTTAGAATAGCTGGTAGTTAGTTGAATCTGTTTTCAATTGTATTAGTAGCTATAGCTCAAAAATAGATCTGTATATATAGTTATAGTTCATAATAGTTCTATATTCATTCTTCAGCAACTTTTGCAATCAATGAGAATTCACTTCCATGGAATTTCTCTATGCAGTTTCTTGATTCCAATAGTATATAAGTACAATTATAGAGAGGGATATTTTGTAAAGTTTTAAAAATAAAATAAAATTCACAAAGATATAACGCATTTTGTGGATTTATTGGTATATCCCAATGTTAGCTATAAATTATGATTATTTTAATGGCTTTGTTTTTACAATATTTGAGTTAAAGGCTGGATATAAGTGCATGGTAATGGGCCAAATGAGTACCAATCAGCCCAATAAGGTAAAAGAGAGAGAAAGAGATAATTTGATGATTTACTATTCTCTTTTACTATTTTTACTGCAGTTAGAGAGCCATATTATCAACTCTTTGAAAGTGAGATCAAATCTGAACCATTGGATGGACAAAAATATGGATGGACAACAATGCAATTTCTTAGAACTCTTTAGTTTCTAGCTAAATAGGAGTCTGAGTCATTAGGGCCACGGGGAGAGAACTTTCATTTTTTTTAGTTTTCAATTTTACGTCTTGAATCTTTTGTAATCTTTTTCTTTGAATCTGAGTGTTGAGAAATTCCTTGAAAACTGAATGCTTGTTCTTCAATTCTTGCACTCGAAGTGCATTGACAACACACCTTCAAGCAGTGGCGGACCCAAAAAAATTTATAGAAGGGGGCGAATTTTTTTTTATATTATTAAGAAAAGTACATACAATCATATATGAATCTAATATAAAAAGTTTGAAAGAATTTTATTACAAAATTTAAGGTCAATTCACTTAACTCTTGCTCTACGTTTTTTCATATTATTAAACTCTTCTATAATTGAATTTGTGCTAAAATTCAAAACAATCTCTTTTTCAACATATGTAATCAAAGAATCATCAAGAAATTGGTTTTCCATTCAATTTTGAAGTCTGATCTTGATTATCTTTCATTTCACAATGGATGCACACTCTTTTCTTTCCTCAATATTTAGCTCAAAAAATTGGAACTCTTGTTTGTGTGTTTTGTTGTTGTCTTCTTTGACAATGATTTTCGCCACCCTCTTAATAATCAAGTGTGCCTGATTTTGAAATTTTTTCTTGAGCCCTAAAAGTTTGCTCCTTCCTTTGGAAAAAACTACAATTTCAATTTCTAAAGTTGTGTTTATTTAAGTGTTTTTGAAATTTTCAGCCCAATTACTTAATTTTTTTAGTCCAAAATTAATTTTTTTCAGCCCAAAATTATATATATATAATAAAAAAATTCTAAAAATCCGGGAGGGGCGGTGGCCAACCCTAGCCCCTCCTCTGGGTCCGCCTATGCCTTTAAGGAAAGGAATCACGGATTTGCATACGAGCTATTGTTTTCATACTTCTGCAAGTTTTCTTCCTAGCTCTAGTTTAGGAACTTTGATTCTTGAAGAACCGGTTTGTAAACTTTTACTTTGAGTTTTCTTTACTGAATATTTGTAATGCATGTTTCTTTACTTTATAGATTTGCAATATTTCTGAAGATGGGTTTCTAAGTCCTTTCTTTTCTGGGTTGTCCAAATGATTGGATGAATATTTTCTGATGTGCATTGTTACTGTCGTTTATCTCATTCGTTTAATTCTTTCACTTTTAAAACTCGAGTAATTCATGGGAATGAAACTTGGGTAATTCAACAAAAATAAATTGGAAAATGCATTTTTTTTAAGTATTAAATGAACCTCTTGATTAGGGATAATCAAGGGTGATTTCTGATAAATTTTCTATAAAGTTTCAAGAAACTTTGGGAAAAGATCTTCTTGAACCTTAATGTTGATTCTGGGAAGTTTCAATTAAACTTGCCGTAGTACTTCAGAAATTGAGATAAACTCGCTGTAGCCTGTACGAATTTGCAGTTTGCAAATATTTTTGTCATCCATGATTTTGAGATATACCCAGAAGCCTTTTTATATTGATAAATCGATTCTCTACTTTTAGATCAGTTTTAATGCATGATAAAAACTATACAAAAAAAAACTTCTTGTTCTAAAACCAATTAAGTTCCAATTTCAGAATTTTTAATTCAAAAAAATAAAAAGACAAATAATTCAACCTGTTCCCTGAGAATGATACTCTTTCTTTTGAAAAATTTCTACCAACAAAATGGCGTCGTTGCCGGGAACGGTGTTTGAGTTAGTTTCTTTTTAAAAATACTGTCTTTTAGTTCTTGAATTGGTTTTCTTTCATTTTCATTTTTAATTTTTTTGAGCTTACATTTTCTTTCTAGATTTTGCAGATCAATAATTTTTTACTCTGAAAACAGATTGATACACTTAGCATTCTGCCAAATCTAAAAAAAAAAAAAAGTTTGGTTATTAAACACTCTACAGGGGAATCACAATGGCATTGGCAGCTCAACTCGTAGCTTTGCATAACACAGTGAAAGATTTGGCCAAGGTTATGGAAGAATCCAAGCAACCAGCACCTACTCCAATAGTTGTTATAGCACCTATATGCTCACTTTGCTATGGTACTCATGCCTTTGAAGAATGCCCCAGCAACCCAACATATGTTCTTTATGTGGGAGGCTTCAATTACAATTACAACAACCACAACCAATTTGATCAGCAAGGATGGCATAACCAAGGATGTAATTTTGCTCAAAATCAAGGCCAAAATTACCAATACCAGCAGCCTTATCATGGATGGCAGGAGTCATTTGAACTGGATGAACCTTATTTTGTGCAGCCTCCTTTTGCTGAACAGCTAGAACAACCTGCTGCAGAAGCTCAACCTCCAAATGAGCAGTGGATGAATCAAATGCTACAAAACCATGAAGCTATGCTTAAAAGTCATGGAGCTATCTTGAAGAGCCTTGAGATACAAATGGGGAAAATTGCCTCTGCCCTTAGTAGTAGACCTTTGGGAACACTACTAAGTGACACAGAAATACCTAAGAGGGATGGAAAAGAAGTGTGCAAAGCCCTCCACTTGAGGAATGAGAGAGAGGTGGATCAGTCGGATCCAGTTGTAAGCCCATCTACCTTGAAGAAATTGATTGAGAAAGTAGGGCAGCAAGTGGATAACACTATTACAGCCCAACCATCAACCACTCAATCCTCACCTAAAGACAAAGATGATGATGAGGAAACTACTGCTGAACCATTAAGGGCAGCATTGAAATCAAATGGATTTCATCAACCTATATCAAAGGCAAGACATATCCATTTTCCTCAAAGCCTCCAAGAGCAACAACAAGAGCACTGTCTCTCCAACAATTTGCCACCCAAACTGGAAAATCCAGGCTCTTCTTTAATTTCAAGTGCATTAGTAGATAGGTCACTTCCACACCATGATGGAAAATTAGAGAACAAATTAGTGAAAATTTATAGGTTTATTTTTCCTACAAATTTCATAATAGTTGATTTTGAAGCTAACAAGGATGTGCCTATTATGTTGGATAGGCCATTCTTAGTTAAAGAGGATGCTATAATTGAATTTAAACCAGAAGAATTAACCATGGGAGTTAATAAGGAAAAGATGACTTTTAATGTCTTGAAAGTCATGGATGAGGATTCTAATAATTGTTCTGCTATTTCTGTTTGGGATCATCTTGTTAATGATCATGTGTTTTTAAATAGAGAAAATACCAACTTATGAGAAGGCAGCTTCAATCATATAAAGACTAAACTAGTCAATCCACTCATAAAAGATTTGATTCAAAAGAAAATAATCAATTGGTTGGATACAAAGCAGATTGTTCTAATTTTCAAGATAAGAATCAAGTTATTTCCAAACAAGATTCGATGGTTAAAACATCACTGGACCAACTATGTAGATAAAGAGAAGACTTTCATTTCTTTATTGGATGCTGGATAAAACACACACAAAAAAAAGAGTTTAGTTAAGTAGTTTGTTAATGTACTTGTAGCTATTGTAGCTTAGGTTAGTTTAGTGTGTGTAATTGCTGATATGTTTAGTTTTAAATTTATGAGTAGCTTTCAACTTGTTCTAGTGAGCTTGAATCCTATTAATTTTTTTTTTGGTCATGTGTTAGTGTTGTCTTCTTAAAATCAATGAAAAATATGTTCTGTGAAGTAAGAAGGAAAAGTTGAGTGAAGAGTTAAAGTGACTCTATTGTGATGAATGAGCACTCTGAGAGTGAGCTAATAATTAAGTTTAGGGTAAGTGTGAACTATCTTAAATTTCTTTGATGTCCAGTTGCCAAGCACAAAGTAATTGCACGTCACTTGTTGGAAACAAGTGAGTGCATTGAGAATTAAGTTGAAAAAATATATATAAAAAAAAAGGACGAATAGGGGAGTGTCTTTTGTCCAAGTATTTCATGGTTTTAATCTTTCTTTGTTTAATCCATTTTTACTTTGTCTAGCCAACGTTAGTCCATGGTAGGAAATTATGTCATTGGACTATTGTGAATTAGACTAAGCCCAAATAAAAAACGAGATACAAAAATATATTTGTTTAAAAGTAAATGGGCCATGTGTGTGTTAATATTTGAGCCCATTTAGATTTAACCCAAATGTTTTCCTACCCATCTGATGTTTAAATCTGACAACATTCAGAATTCATTTTTCATCATCTCGTTACCTTTCTTCCCACCCAATCAGCTCTGCACAATTCAACCTCAATTTGTTGGTTTAGTTAAAAAAAAAAAAGTAGCTGATTAGAGTGAAGGTCTTCAGACGGTGGTATGCACCTAATAAATGTTTTTAAGCTGCTCTCTAGTACACTACTAGTAGGGAAAGCACCGTTTGATGTGACCACTCTCTGCTCTAATCTCATTTCAATTGCACCCAAGTAAAGTGACATTTCTTTTCTTCTCTCTCCACAATCACCAGAATTTTTTTTTCTACTTTACCAAACCCTCATCACCACCCATATCTCTCTTTCTTCAAGTTCAGCCGAGAATACCCATTTTTAGTAGCTCTTCACTGCCTTGCTTGTTGTCAATTTAGCTGCATAGGGTTTGAATTTTGAGCTGGATTCCATTATTCATTCAAGCTCAAGCGAGATTTTTTTCTCATATCTTCCTCACCGTTGTGTGAACTCAGGTATGTTCTAAATAAATAAATAAAATTATTATTTGATTTTGCTTTTAATTTTATTCTTTTGACCCTGTGTACCATTATTCCCTTTGATAGTCAAACCATTAGTCCGATCGTTTGGGTTCTAATTTTTTTTATTATTATATTTAGGACGTTTTTATTTTTTTTATTTTCTGAATTGTAATTTTTTTTATTTATTGTTTGGGTTTGATTTCATATGAGGAATTTTAATTTTAATTTTTATAATTATATTTTTATTATTTTCTTTTCTTTTCCTTTCACTTAAACGACTTTTGCATTTTTGCTTTGAGTTATAGCCTATTTTTCTTGTCCTTGTTCTGTATACTCTCAACTCTATCTTAGCTTTACCTGACATGTTGTGAGCAATGAAAACAACAATATTGGCAAGAAATGTAGGTACTCCTTGATTTTGCAATTTTGCATGTGCCTGTGAAATGTTTCATCTCAAACTAAATATTTTTTTTAGCTTACATGAGTGGCATGTCTAATTTTTTGAATATGATTTTTTTTATTAAATTACTGTCATTTATAGGTGTTTTGTTCCTCGGTTGATAATAATTTATTTGCTTTATTTTATTTATTTATTTTATTGCTGATTTCTTTTGATATTTCTGAGTTGCCTTTATTTATTAACAGACCACTTTTCTTTCGAATTGCTCACTGATTCATATTGCAGTACAATGGCACCAAAAGGAGGACCCCTTCTCTGATGATTGAGTCTTCCCTTCTTTCTGCTGACCTTCTCACGGTCACACATGTTCTTTTTATCAAAAAAATTTATAACTTACCATTATTTTAGGTAATTTTATCTAAGATTATGCATGACCTGTTTTATTTGCTGTGAGGACCCAGCTTAATTTTAAGTTTGGGGTGATTAATTGCTGTTACCAATTTTTTGCTGATTGGTGCTAAAAAAAATAATGATAAAAATTCACTCTATTTTGAATGCTTGATTAGCTGAGTGGTAACTTGGAAATGATTTATAACCTGATATGTTTAATATTATCATTGCTTAAGTATAGCCAGATTTGATTGGATGAATTCCTAATCAATTAGGGATCTAACTTAGTTTATCAGTATTTATATAAGCTGAAAATCAAATTACATGCCATAAATTTTTTTTTTGTGATCCTTGATTTGCTGATTCACTGATAAACCACTGGATTAACAACCCATGTGAGATATTTGAACCTAAACACTCTATTCCTTTGTGAGTGGTCATTGTGTATTGGTGTTTTGAATGTTGCACTCTATTTGGATGACTAATATGCTATTTCTGTGTGATTGGGGCATTGTTTCTGAATATGCAGCCTAGAGCCAAAAACCTCACCCTTCAATTATATCCCTTGGTCCTTATATTTGAGCCTGAAACCTTTCTTTTTTGATCATGTACCCTGATATTATGAGCCAAATTCCTTGTCCACCCTATATGGCTATCTTAGTATTTAGTTAATTCTCATTAGCTTAGAAATACAGTAAGCTAAATAAGGCAAAGGGAAATTGGTAGTAAAAAAGAGAAGGGAAAGAAAAAGGAAAGAGGATCAGGAGGTAAAAAAAAAATATCGAAGAAAAAGGGGAACAAGTGATTTATAAAAGGAGTTCTCTGTAAAAAAAAGGGAGATCTCTGAGCTTGTTGTAAAAAAAAAGAAGGGAGAGGCTAAAGTAAAAAAAAAACGAATTTGTGAAGGTGCTCAATAATAAAAAAAAGAAAGAGAAAGAAGTTATAAAAAAGGGAGAAGAGAGTCACTAATTTCCCTTTGTCTTGTTTAGGCAGAAATCAGAAAAAGCTAATGAGGATTAGTTAGACACAAAAGGGTTAGCTTAATTAGCCAAGTGACTAGAAAAACAAAGATCCTAGCCCTGCCTCATTAGAAGCCTTGAAGACCCTTTGATGGAGTTAGCATATTGGACTTCAAGTTTCTAAATGGTAGTGTAGATTGGAAGCATTCATGCATGATGATAATGAGTGAACTTCCTATTAAAAAGAAAAGAAAAGGAGAGAGTGTGATTGATTAAATATATCTGGAAATGAATTCAGTGGAATGTCAATTGAATCATTTTAAGTTAAGGGATTGCAACTGTTTGAATGAGCATGAATTTTTTTATTAAATGCTTATGTAATTGTTGATTGACTGGAGTTGGATGATTAATTTGATGTAGGAATTGGTTGACATTAAGTCTCGTCAATGCTTTAAGAAGTGTGGTGTTTTGCATAGATGGTTGATAAATTTAACTGAGTTATTAAAATTAACTATGTGTTGCTATGTGACTCTGTGAATTTTGAGCTAACTGGCTAAGTTATGAGTGAAGTTTGTCTGATTACTTGAGGGCAAACAATTAACTAAGTTTGGGGTATTTTGTTAGCTATAAATTATGATTATTTTAATGGCTTTGTTTTTACAATATTTGAGTTAAAGGCTGGATATAAGTGCATGGTAATGGGCCAAATGAGTATCAATCAGCCCAATAAGGTAAAAGAGAGAGAAAGAGATAATTTGATGATTTATTATTCTCTTTTACTATTTTTACTGCAGTTAGAGAGCCATATGATCAACTCTTTGAAAGTGAGATCAAATCTGAACCATTGGATGGACAAAAATATGGATGGACAACAATGCAATTTCTTGGAGCTCTTTAGTTTCTAGCTAAATAGGAGTCTGAGTCATTAGGGCCACGGGGAGAGAACTTTCGTTTTTTTAGTTTTCAGTTTTACGTTTTGAATCTTTTTTAGTCTTTTTCTTTGAATCTGAGTGTTGAGAAATTCCTTGAAAGCTGAATGCTTGTTCTTCAATTCTTGCACTCGAAGTGCATTGACAACGCACCTTCAAGGAAAGGAATCACGGATCTGCATGCGAGCTATTGTTTTCATACTTCTGCAATTTTTCTTCCTAGCTCTAGTTTAGGAACTTTGATTCTTGAAGAAACGGTTTGTAAACTTTTACTTTGAGTTTTCTTTACTGAATATTTGTAATGCATGTTTCTTTACTTTTTAGATTTGCAATATTTCTGAATATGGGTTTCTAAGTCCTTTCTTTTCTGGGTTGTCCAAATGATTGGATGAATATTTTCTGATGTGCATTGTTACTGTCGTTTATCTCATTCGTTTAATTCTTTCACTTTTAAAACTCGAGTAATTCATGGGAATGAAACTTGGGTAATTCAACAAAAATAAATTGGAAAATGCATTTTTGTTAAGTATTAAATGAGCCTCTTGATTAGGGATAATCAAGGGTGATTTCTGATAAATTTTCTATAAAGTTTCAAGAAATTTTGGGAAAAGATCTTCTTGAACCTTAATGTTGATTCTGGGAAGTTTCAACTAAACTTGCCGTAGTACTTCAGAAATTGAGATAAACTCGCTGTAGCACTGTACGAATTTGCAGTTTGCAAATATTTTTGTCATCCATGATTTTGAGATATACCCAGAAGTCTTTTAATATTGATAAATCGATTCTTTACTTTTAGATCAGTTTTAATGCATGATAAAAACTATACAAAAAAAAAACTTCTTGTTCTAAAACCAATTAAGTTCCAATTTCAGAATTTTTAATTCAGAAAAATAGAAAGACAAAT